AAAGGGTAATTTCAGTGTAATAATTGCTAATTATTACTTTGGTGCAGTTTAACAAACTGATACTACAGTTCAATAATACCTGCCTCTGATCTCATTGCCAAAAAGATACTGGGCTGTCTGGCCAAAATTGTGCAGTAAAGGGTCACGCGACCGTTTGCTACCCGACAATGTGTTTGAACTGTTCTACACAAATTTTTGAGAAATTTGATGGGTTTTTTGTAATAAAGAACCAATCAAATCGAGGCACAGTTTTCCAGTTTCAGAGGAGCAAACCCTTTCAAATGAATGACTTCCCGCTAAAATTGTGATCGGCTCTTCATTAAAACCCCTAAAAGTTGTCAAAAATGTTTGGAAAAAATGTCAAACAAAATGATTGTCGAAAACTTTGTCGAGTGACCATTTTATCTACCATTTCCAAAGCTTGCATTCTTTACAAACAAATTTTAACGATAGACTGCAGACTAACCAAGGTGTAATTGAACATCCCGCACTTCCAGTGTGTTGGACTTCCGATGTTTGGCAATCTGACATGATGCCGTTACCACACTCTCGATGAAGTCATCGGCGATCTGCAGAAGCAACTAAAACGAGAAGAAAAGTTCAGTTTAAGCCTGACCTTAGGCGACAAAACCTTACTTAGCATAAATTGAGGAGATGGAGTTGAATCGGGAATGCATAGCATACTACTCTAAGATATTACTGCATTTGGGTGAGCTCTCCGTCAGCAGACGTCACGAGTTAACATGGACACCTCCTAAATCGGAAAGCTAAAGTTGCTAAGCCCTGCCTTCTGGAGTTTCGCCGACAACCTTTTTGCTCTCTCACGAGTTGGCAACTGATTTCTCACGCTTTCCCGAAAAGTCAAACTCGAAAAACAGTTTGGAGCTGTAGGGTTCGTTTCCGAGTTAGATATCGATAAATAGCCAGCTTAATAAGAAGAACCTTTAGCGATCGTGTTTGATTACATTCTTTTAGCCTACCGCGACTTACCGCTGCCACCAAATGCACAGACATTCTGTTTCTCATGTCTCAAGATGGCCGCCAACAAAACATAGAAATTACGAATCCTAAATCGTAAAATTGATCGTGATGTTTACAGCTCCAGCTTTAAAGAGATATGTGCCTTGCAATACCCATAATCCCCGCTGGAAGTCCTTCCACTTGGAAAATTGGGACATCTCACTAGATTTTTACTCATTTCTCACTACTTTTCCCAGCTTTCAGAATCTCACATTTTTTGCCTTTTGGGGGTTGGCAAGTCTGAAGATGCGTATAGAGCTCTTCACCCAAAACTGATGTGAAGAGTTTCCTCATCACTGGGAGGCAGGTTTTTCTTCAGTCATTCTCGTTGATTCTCTATTTATTCTCTAATTAGGTGGATACCTCTCTAAGAAGTTTTTTAAACTTAGAACGGGTCCTGGCAAAGTGCTTTGTGCAAAGCCAGTGAGCTGACTATAACTACAGTAATAGTAGTACACATTTATTAAAGTTAACATTCTGATAGGTTAGTCTAATATCGTTAGTCTCAAGATGTTAACGTTGTTATTAGAGAGATTAAGAATCATGTTTATGGCAAACGTCAGATTCAGGTTAGTAATAGGGAAAGACCAGATAAAAACTGTGAGAAATACTTCTTACGGATAAACCTGACATGAAAGTCATCTTTCCCATTAGATAAAATGAATATTAATCAAAGGCTCCTAGGAGCGAGCTCATGGATGAATTGAATTAGTGTAGAAAAGACAGTTCAATAATCAAAGAAAAACATATAAATCTTTTTGAACGGTTCATTGTGTACGGACTTGCCAAAATACAGCGTGGCTCGAAGTATCCGATCGCATGTGTACCTGAATATTCTAGAAACTTTTTATTAGCGCAGCATTTCTACTTACAAAGCAAAGATCACTTTTAAAAGCAATTATTAACGCTTTTTAGTTGTAAAATAGTTTGCTTTCTCATGTGACTGTCAAACACTTTCCGAACGACAGTGCACTTTCTTGTAAAACAGCCAAGTTTTACATACATGAGTTTTATTAAAACCGTGGTTTTAAAAGTGCGATGCTTTCGAATAAATGTTTCCATATGATGAGTACGTAACGGTTAGCATATGCAGTACGAGCTATATTAAATACAGAATACAGGCGTTTATGGCTAAATTGAACTGCTTCAGAACGCACTTTTGATAAACACGAACTAAAAATTATTTTAATACATGTAAAACGGATTAAGCTCAAAGCAGTCCCTGTGCTCTGACCTAGCCAAGTAATTTAAACGCAGTCGAAGTATTCGATTGCCTTTCGCCAGAGACTTGTTTATACCAGCGCAGCATTTCTTGTAGAAATTACATTAATAGCACTGCTAAATGGAATCACCGACAAACAAAACCCTACTTTAAGGCAAAGATCACCTAAGAATTCAAGCAAAATAGCGTAACGCTTGTTGGTTCTAAAACCTGTGCTTCTAGTTGACACAACATTGATTCATTCCCTGTTTGCATACG